TTCAATTTTTCCCCATTTAGTATGATGTTCTCTATAGGTTTGTTCTCTCTCTCTCTCTCTCTCTCTCTCTCTCTCTATATATATATATATATATATACCTTTTAGAATGTTGAGGTATATTCCTTCCAACCGTTTCTTCAGAACTTTTATCATGAAAGGATGTTGAATTTTGTTTAAGGCTTTTTCAGCATCAGTTGAGATGATGATGTGGCTTTTGTCCTTGATTCTGTTTGTATGTTATATTACACTTAATATTATGAATTGCATAATATGTTGTATTCTCCTTCCATTCCTGGAATGGATCATGATGTATGATCTGTTTAATGTGTTGTTGGATTCTGCTAGCAAGTGTGATTTTGAGAATTTTTGTATCTGTGTTCATTACAGATAATGGCCTGAAACTTTCACTTTTTTTTGATGCATCTTTACCTGGTTTTGGTATTAGGGTAATACAGGTTTTGTAGAATGAGTTTGATAGTATTTCTACCCTTTGTATTTTTCAGAATAGTTTGAGGAGTATTAGTGTTAGTTATCCTTTAAACATCTGGTAGAATTCAGCAGTGAATCCATCCATACTTGGGTTTTTCTTTGTTGGGAAGTTCTTTGTAACTCTCTCAATCTCATTACTTACTATTGACCTGTTTAAGTTATTTTTGTCCTGTTGGTTCAATTTTGGTGGATCATGTGTTAAGAAATTTGTTTCTCATTGACTTTCCAGTTTGCTAGAGTATAGTTTCCATGGGCTGCTAAGAAAAATCTGTGGTCCGCTACTGCAGTATGAAATTCTCTATAAATATCTGTTAAGTCCATTTTGCCCATGGTATTGTTTACTTCTATGATATGTTTGTTACATTCTGTCAGGATGTTTTGTATATTGATGAGAGTGGTGTGTTGAGATCTCCCACTATTATTGTATCTGGACCTATCTGTTCTTTTAAGCTCAGAAGTGTTTGTTTTATAAACTTGGGGCACTGAAGTTTGGTACATATATATTTAGAATTGTTAATATGCTTCCTGGATACTTTCCTTTATTAGTATAGTGACTTCTTTATCTTTTCTGACTTATTTTTGCATAAAATTTGCTTTGTCTGATATGAGAACAGTTATCCCTGCTTGCTTTTGGTTTCTGCATCCTTATAAATCTTTTTTCCAAACTTTCACTATTAATTTGTGTGTGTCTTTGGTTGTGAGATGGGTTTCTTGTAGAACATATTGTTGGATCTTGCTGTTTGATGCAACCAGAAAATCTGTATCTTTTGATTGGAGGATTTAGTCTGTTTACATTTGAGGTTATGATTGAGAGGGATTTACTGATCTATATGTTTCTATCATTCTTTTTCCAAATCAAGTCTTGCATTGATTGTTCTTTACTTTTGGCTTTACTCATCTTTAAGTTTTGCTGTTTTACTGAATTGATCATGCTTGCTACTTTCCTTGTTCTCAAGGTTTTGTCAATTCCCTTTTTGAGTTTTATTCTTTCCTGACCTCTCATGTTTGTGACTATTTATCATCCTCTTCCATGTGAATTAATCCCTGAGTATCCTTTGTAATGCAGGACTGGTGGACATAAACTGCTTTAGTTAATCCTTACCCTGTTAGGTCCCTATTTTTTCATTGAGATTGAAGAACAGTTTTGCTGGATGTAGTATTCTTGATTCGCAGTTATTCTCTCTCAGAGCTTGAATTACATTGCACCATGTTTTCCTGGCTTTTAGGGTTTGTGCTGAGACATCTGAGGTAATTCTTATGTGATTACCTTTGTATGTAAATTGGCATTTTTCTCTTGCAGTTTTCAGTATCCCTTCTTTGTTCTCTAGTTTTAGCATTTTAATTATGATATGATGTGAGGTTGTTCTTTTCTGGTCATGTCTATTTGGAGTTTGAAATGCCTCCTGTGCATGGGTGTCTATATCATTACATAGATTTGGGAATTTTTCTGTTATGAGTTCATTAAATAGGTTTTTATTTAGTTTATATTAGTTTTCAGCCTTTTGTTTATATTTCAGCTCCTTCTTCCACCCATGAATTCTCAGGTTTGGTCTTTTGATGATGTCCCAGAGGTCTTGTATGTTATATTCATTTTTTTCTTTGTGATCATATACAATAACTCCTTGACCTTGTCCTCCATCTTTGATACTTTTTTTTCTGTTTGAATATGTCTGCTGATAATACTATCCCTGTGGTTTTTATTTGATATATTGAGGTCTTCATTTCTAACATTTCTACTTGTGTTTCCTTTTTTCATAATTTCCATTTCTTTACTGAATTTCTCTTCTATGTTGCTGACTTTCTTTTCTAGGTCTTGCTTTTTGTTTGGATTTGGTTTGGTTTATTTTTTATTTGTTTATTTATTTTTGGTGGTGCTTATGGGGATGAAATCAGGGTCTTAAGCTTACTAGGCAGGTGCCCCACCACTTGAGCCACACCTCCAGTCCTTTAATATGTTGGGTATTTTTGAGAAGGGTCTCACAAACTATTTGCCTGGGCTGGCTTTGAATCACAATTTTCCTAATCTCTGTCTCCTAAGTAGCTAGGTAATTACAGGTATGAGCCACCAGCACCTGACCCTTTTCTAGGTCTTGGATTGATTTACTAACTTCATTTATCTGTTTATTTGAGTCCTCTTTGAAGTCATTGATCTTTTTTTTTTTTCAGCACTGGGGCTTGAACTCAGGGCCTTGTGCTTGCTAGGCAGGCACTCTTATTGCTTAAGCCACTCTGCCAGCCCTCATTGATCATTTTTAACAGTAGGCTTCTGAATTCTCTATCAGATATTTCAGCCATCTCATTATTTTTGGATTCAGTTGTTGTGGAGTCTTGGAAAGGAGACACTGCCTTGGTTTTTCATATTTAAATTTCTATGCTCGCATATGTGGACAGCCTACTCTTTCCTTCTAGCAACAATTCAAGAATAAATTAAATCTTTGAACGAGTAAGATACAATTGGAACCCTTATCTGTCAAACCACTAAGGTTGTATGGGAGCAAAACTCTGGTTCCTAAAGGGATGATCTGGGAGTTTAACACTGGTTGAAAAGTATAAGGATTAGAAATTTAGAAATATAGCAATGGACATAGGGAGGGGAGGTAAGTGGGAAAATGGAAAGAAGGGAAAGTAGGTGTAGTAGTTAACAGTACAAGAAAGAGCTATATAGTTAGAGAGCTAGGGTTTGGGAGATAAGGAGGAAAAATTAAGAAATAAAGAAAAAAATTCCATCAATTAGAAACTAAACATTAAAAAAAAAAGTACAGAACCAGCTAAATGGAAGCAAATTGGATGAAGACAAAAAAAGTTAATATTTCTTCCTGTGGAGAAGCGTTGATATCCCCTACATTTTGTTCAGGTTAGTTCCCCTTGCCTCTTGCCCAGGTTGTTATGGGAACAACATCAGGAGGACAGAGTTGCTCCTCTAGCTTGAGGGGGAAAGGAGGGCTAGAATGCGGCAGCTTAGACGCATGGTTGACACACTCCAGAGCAATTCTCTTAACAAAGTACTTTGCCCCAGAGTTGTTTTGAGACTGCACAGCATCTCAAATAGGAGGATTGAGCCTTCCTGATAAAATGCAGAGAGATCTGAGCAGTGGGGCCCCTCTTTCTATGAGTAGTGCCTTGGTTAATATAGCTAGATAGTGTCTTGGATAGGGTGGTGCCACTTACGTATGGGCCTTTGGCTGTTTTTCACATTGTCCTAGTCAAAACTGCTCCCTTTCTACATCTGCTTCTGGGGACACTTGCCTACAAGGATACTATGGCTGGGAATCACAAAACTCCCTGGGTAATGGTTTTCCAAATCCCTGGGGTTGCTCTGTCTCCAGATCTGCCTGCCTACTGGCAGCCTGTAAGCAGCTTCTGAAACCTGAGCTTTCTGCCAGGGAAAGGTAGGTACTTTGTTTTTGAAATTTTCTATAGACTGTTAGGGTGGGATTGCCAACACTGCTACTTTCCTTTCCTGAGCTTTATTTAACTTCTCAGCTGACCCCAAGCCAAAGCCTCTCCCTCTCCTCTCATAGCCATTGCCTCTCATAAACTGTAGCCTGATGTCTCAAGATGCCAGATTGAGTCTGGTATCTCAGACTCAATCAGGAGGCTCTCTCTCAAGGTGGTACTTTGCCAGTGTTCTCAGGGAGGGGAATGAAAGGTTGTCTTGTGTGATGTGGGCCTGTCATGCTAGGGAAGTCACTGTCTGTCAAATTCCTACACTGAAAGAAGGTTTGTGGAATGTGTGGGTTTTGTCCCACAGCTAGGTCTGCCAATTTATCACAGAGGCCACCTGGCTTACCTTGGGGTGGAGGCTTTGACTTCCCCTCCCCCGGGGGGAGCTGGAGCTGGAACCAGGCCTGGAGCAGAAAATTTTTTCTTATTCTGCCATCTTGCTATTTCACTATATTTTTCAGCTGTTCTATTCCTCTTTTGTGGCTTTCAGTGCTCTTCTTCTCTTTTGCTCTTCTTTATGTAGACTCTTCTTTGTTATTCAGTCTTATTCACAGGGTCTGATGGTCTGATGGAGAAAGTTTCCATCTTGCACTATCCCCACCTCTTTTTAAAAAGTTTTATTGGAATAAAGTCATTGATGTGTTGTCTATGGCTCCTTTGGCACTGCAGTGTCAGTTACATAGTTACGATAAGGATGAACCAGTCAATGAAGCCAAAAATTATTTACTATCTGGACCTGTAGAAAGTCTGTTGACCCCCAGTCTAGTGAACTCAAAAGTTGTTCTCATCCTATACATTTTCTAAATACCTCTTTCCTCCTCTGTGCCATAGTTTCTATATTTACGGACGAATAACCTCTAAATTGAGTCATCACATTGAATTTATTCTCCCGCTATTCTGTAGGTATTAACATTAGATGTTTTGTCATTACTATAGCTGACCTATTTGAGGACAGGAAAGGAGTGTCATGTGTCTTATAAATCCTCCAAGGTGCAATACTTTAGCTGAGCCTTAAAATGTTTATGGAGTATAACTGAGCTGACTTGAATTATGTTTCTTTCCTGCAGAGAGATCTCTCAGAATGATGTCTTGGAAGTGATAGAGGCAGATGTGTTCTCCAACCTGCCCAGGTTACATGAAATGTAAGTAAGAGATTTGGGAGTATTTCTCATGGCTATTTTTGGGAGCAGCCTTAAAAATTCTCATGTATTCTTGGGAAGTCCTGGCTCTGTTCTATCTTTAAATCCCTATGCTGTCATTATAAAATGTCAAAGTCAGCCTAAACTGTACCGTAATTTGTCTTTGTTTTGTTGATTGGGCACCAGTCCAGAACCTAGTTTTATCCTGCTTGCTCTATCCCATATATTTTGTATCATGCACTCAAGAAACTTGCCCTGTGACTATGAAAAGGTACCCCCATCCATCTTCTCATTCCAAATTGTTCCACAAAGCCTAAAATAAGTCCTACATGATGTGGTTGAAGCTGGGTAATCCTAGCTGTCATAGAACTCTAGCCTATGTCATAGATTTACAATGAAAGCTCAGCCAAGACACATAACCATCTGAGACTTCATTTTCCCATCTGTAAAACCATAATAAGATCTACACCTTATAGGATTACTGTCATGAATAAAGGAAATGATAAATGTAAACTAAATTTAGCATATCAAACTAGCAGAGTATTTCTGTTCCGATGATCTTTGTTTCCTTACAACCACAACCAAATTTACTTCTCTTGTTGACATTCCAGGTTTACAGATATGTCAGTACATAGATCTACTTCTGTTTTATATCAGTCTATAGTTGCCATAAATTAATTCATAGAACCATAGAATTCTATGACTTGTCAAGGTCATAGAAACTTTACAGATTATTGGTCAAAATTTTTCCAAAGTATATTATGTGTAGTACTCATAACCCAGGAAATTGTTAAATGTTCAAAAAAGAACAGAGAAAAGAAAAGAAAAAGATTCTTTGATCAAATAAAATTAGGAAACACTGAGCAAATAAAGTTAGATAATTTCACTTACTATAAGGAAACTTCTCAGGAAGTTTTATGTTGATATACATTTTGAATCTTCAAGAAGTAACTATTATATTAAATGTTTCTCAACTTAAGACACTGGAAAGGTTTCTTTTGTAGAACATTTATTAACCTCCAACAAAATTCCCATAGAACACATTTAGGAAAGCCAATGAGCGACTCTCCTACTTTCACAGATGAAGAATAAAAGGCACAGAGAAGTTGTGAGACTTTTCTAAAGCCATCTAGCAAAACCCACAGCAAAATAAGGACATGATCATAAATCCCTTGGCTCTTTTGTATCTTTTCTAAAAATAAGGATCTTGTTTTGCCAAATATTAGTGGAGGACAGGCAAAAAAAATCTCTCTCTCTCTCTCTCTCTCTCTCTCTCTCTCTCTCTCTGTGTGTGTGTGTGTGTGTGTGTGTGAAAAGAGTTTATGAATGACAGACTGCCCATCTTGCCAAATTCTCCCTCTTTTCTTTCCTTCTACCCACTGTGCCTCCCACTTCATTCTTCCTCATTGTCATTACCTTCATGCTCCTTTCTTTCCTCTCTCTCTGCTTGGCTTCCTCTTGCCCTAGTTGGGAAAAGAGATCTGACTAGGGTCTCAGAATCCATAGGGCTTATCAGAGACACTAATCAAAGGACAGCCAGACCTCTAGGCACAGTCAAACAAGTATCCCTCAACACAGTCCAGTGGGCAGGGGGGCTATTGGGATGGCTCATTCATCTCTTCCTTGCATGGAGAAATACTCACCCCCATGCAACACTGAATGTGTTTAAAATGATTAATTGTCTGGTACTTGGATCTGGTTAGCTACAGGTTACTGCAACATAAAAGCTAATGAAACAGAGAGGAGGTAATTAACAAAGAGTATCTCTGAAAATACAGATTGATCCAGCAAGATGAGGAAAAGACAGGCTCTCTATTAGAATCCAAACGTGACCATGTTTACCTCTGGACTATTGATCAGGACATTATGCAGGCTAAAAACACAGGGCAGATGTCACACTTCCCAAGAGCTGTGAGGAAGCAGCCTGCTTAGAGCATGAAGGGAATCACTGGCATATTCTCAGCCACTTACTGTCGCTAGAATTTCATGGTTAAAAACAAAGAGTATCAATTATTTTTCTTAGAGTTTTTGTTTGTCTTTGTCATTTTATCTCTGTTTCTCCAATCTTTTTGATGCCTCATGCTTTTTCCCTCCCTGTCTCTTTCATCTTCTTTTCACACTCTTGTTATTTTTCACCTCCAGTTCCCCATGTTAGTCTCATCCCTACATTCTTAGCCTCCTCTGACTCTAGCAGACTCTTACTGGTTAAAGACTCATCTCTGTTCAGGTGAAAGTGACCCTGGTAGGTCCCAAATGATGAGTTTTAACTGAGTCAGGGTTAATATTTAGCTTGCACAGTATAAGAAAAAGTACTGCACACCTGCTCAATAGTTCTTGAAACAATGAGTGGATGGATGGGTGGATGGATGGATTGATAGATGAATGATTTATTGATAAACTCTTCAATACTATAGCATTTCTTGCTGTCAGGATCACTTGCATGTACCTTCTTCTTTTACAGTAGAATTGAAAAGGCCAACAACCTGCTGTACATCAACCCTGAGGCCTTCCAGAACCTTCCCAATCTCCGATATCTGTAAGAACTCATAATTCTGCCCCAAACTGTGTTATCAAATTCGTACATTCTGATTTTAGTAAAATGTCTAGTTACTGCTCTGAAGAATAATTACTTTTCTATCGAGGATGGTGGGTAGAGAAGTGGAGGTGAGGAGACACTTTGTGGTAGTTTTAATTTAATTTAATGAGCAAATTCCACTAATATAATTGCATTTTGTTTTCATTTGCAAAAACAGGAATAAGAATGCCATTTCCATTAATGGGACTGTCATGCAACCCTCTTACAGAACTCAGTCATAATTTAGTGTTAATGAGATGCAACCAAACTTTCTTCTATCATTTAGTTTGTGAACTCAACCTCAAAGATATTGTCTCTTGTTTTACATATAAGTAAATTTTACCTGATAGATAGCAGTGCTTTACTTTGTAATTTGGTTAATAATCAATATGGTATTTTATCAGCAGAGAGATTCCTGATATTTGAGCTCCATCCTTTGGGCCTGACGCCATCAGCACAAACTATTTCTTCCACTCAAATGTCTTCCAGATTAGCTGTGGCTTTGACAGAGACTTGAGTATTATGATGAGGCCTTACAAAATAACAGATAAGAATTTGAACACTGGAGTTAAACTTTTTGGGTCCATTTACTCACTATTTATCACAGGCAAGGACTTAACCTTTCATAGCTTGAAAGGTTTCCTATAAAGAGAATAAAAATAATAATACATGTTATCTACTATTAACATAATAATGCAGCATAACTAACCAGTACCCAAAGATGGAGGCTTAAAACAGCAACAATCGATCATTTCTCATTTGTCTGTGAGTTGGTCAGCAGTATGGTTCTGCTTATCTGGACTATGTTTGCCTGACTTCAGCTAAGCTCACTCATGCATCTGTAGTTAGTTGGCAGGTCAACTGGGGTCTGCCGCTCCGGATGGTCTCAATTGGAATGACTCAGCTCTCCTCCCAGTGATACTCATTTCCAGCAAGCTAGCATAGGCTTATTTTCATAGGGATCCCAGGTTCTAGGAGAGACAGCTAAAGAGTGAAGCTTCTTCAGCATACACCCTAAGCTAGCACCTTATCTCTTCTGATGCATTTTATTAGCCAAAGAAGTTCACAGAACCTACAGGTGGAGAAATAAGATGCCACTTCTTGATGAGAAAAGCTTCAAGGTCACAAATACAGAGGGTATGGCTACAGGGATAGACTTGGGCTGCTTTTGTAATCAATCTAAAGTGTGTAAAAAGTTTTCCACAGTACCTGTCATAGTAGACAAGAAATATTAGCTACTGCTGATATTATGTATCTGGTCCTAAATTTTGCTCCATAAAAACTGGAGTCACAGGTATGATAAGGTACACTAGATCATTGTGTACCTCCACTCTCTGAGTGGGGACCAAGAAATAAGAGATTTAATAGAAGAGAGGTCACATGATCTAGAACTGCTGCTCTATGATAGGAGTTCCCACAAAAGGTCTAAAAAAGAAAGAAGGACATCTGTCCCTGCAGTTGCACAAGTCCCTGTGCTTAGAAGGACCCCACATTCAGAGGACCTCATAAGAGGTCTAATTCTCTGTTGTCATCATCTTGAAAGGTTTAAGAGTTCAAACATTTTAAACAAGAAGCTCTGCATTTTCATTTTGTACTGCACTCTGCATATTGTGTAATTGTTCCTGGTTGATCTCTTCTAGGTTCAGGCGTGGGGGCCTTGATGACTAAGCGAAACTTGTCCCTTAGGGACAGAGACTTTGCTATGCTGTATGCAGAGACTAACCTGGTTAGATGCATAGCAATGGAGAAAATACGTGTTAATGGAAAATGAAATGAGAAAATGTAGGTCACCATCCTGACTCTGCCATATGCAAATTGATCAATCTGGGGCCAATCACTGGACTTCTGAGATGTACATGGCTTGCATGCGCCTCAAGTGAGATTTAAAAAAAAAACTGGACATATCTTATAAACTACGAAGTCCTTAAAAAGTTAATCAGTGGCCAGGTACTGGTTGGCACTCACATAATCAGGAGGCAGAGATCAGGAGGATCATGGTTTGAAGCCTGCCAGGGCAAATAGTTCATGAGACCCTATTTTGAAAATAAAAAAAAGAGCTAGCAAAGTGGCTTATGTGGTAGACCACCTGCATAGCAAGTGTGAGGCCCTAAGTTAAACCCCAGTACTGCCAAAACAAAACAATAGCTAACCAATGTATTGGAAAAATGATTATTTCCAGTTATCTAATTAAAGTATACTTATCAGTCCTCAGAAAAATTCAAGTAAATGTTGATAGAGAGATATAGTGACCACTAAGACCTTCAGCTGTTACTAAGTGTCCTGCAGGTTCAGAAAGAGAAGGGTGTGGCTGGGGGCATGACTCAAGCAAGAGAGCTCCTGCCTAGTGAAAAGAGAAGGTTGGACAATGCCTTTGCTTTTAATGGAGGAGTGTAGAAAAGAAAGAAAAGAAACTACTTATGAAGCCAGAAAGACTGGGACCTGGATGGGACACTGACATTTATTAGCTACATCGTCAGTTACCTTCCCTAAACCTCAGTTTCCTTATCTGTATAGCAGGTGGTTATAAAAACCAAATAAAATTATGCCCTTAAGAAAAACACTTAGCAAAAATTTTAGTGTAGAAACTATAAAGAACTTTCAAATATAAAATTATTAGTGCATGTTACTTGGTTGGTTTTTTCACTCCTTCTTGTCTTCTTCTTTCCCTCCCAACTGCCCTCTTCCCTTCTTCCCTCTCTCCTTTCATCTTAGAAAATGCCTGAGTGGATATGAGAGAGTTTTCACATATAACAAAAGAACTCTAGGATGTAGAAAGGAATCACTGAGCACCTCAATTCACAAACTATCTCCTTTAGCTGATACAAAGTCATTCTACAAAAGATAGGCTCAAGAAGAAAACCAGCCCCTCACACACACCTACCATAGTCCATGATAATAAATGTATCTAAAAATGGTGGACTAGAGTAAGTAAATGAGGAATGAGGAACCAATGCAAAGTTTAAAACCAAAGGATCTAGAATTTGATCATTATTGGCCCATACCTTGTGCCCGGCACCATTTATTCTTCAGGATGAAGACCCTCAGTAAGAAAAGAATTTGGAAGGATGTGGGCATGGAAAACATAGTCAAATAAGGAGGAAAGGGGTAAGAGGATCTTTGGCAGAACAGAGGAGACAAAGCTATGCCTTTAATTCTGGAAGATGAAATCTTGTGTCTTCTGTCATCAAGTCCAGCCTTCCCTTCATGTCCCTTTCTTACTTTGTGGTGAGTAGTCCTCAGCCCTACCTGGCTCCCATCTCAGTTCACACACATTTGGAGAAGACTGATCCTAGCCACACTCTGTTCTAAAAGATTATTTGCCAGAGCATTTTAAACTTGTTCTCTAACTAAGGAAAGAAAAGAGCTAGTAAAGCACTTGGGAGGGATTGTGTCATTGTCAAAGGATCCTCCTTTATCACTCAAAAAATGCTGTTGTATTAGTCAGTTCTGGCTGCTATTAACACAATGCCATTGCTTGCATATTTTAAACCATAAAATTCTATTTCTCATGATTCTGGAGGATGGAAATCTGACATCAGGTAACCTATAGTCCATTTTTGGTGAGAGAACTCTTCCTAGTATACAGAGAGCTATCTTCCCATTGTATTTTCACATGGCCTTGCCTTGATACATGTGCATGGAGAATGAAAGAAAAAGAGATCCCATGTCTCTTCTTCTTTTTATAAAGGAATTCATGTGAGTCCCAACCTCCTATAACACTAACCCCTTCCCCAGCAGGCCCTACCTCCAAACACCACCACATTTGGTTTTTATTGTTTTGTTTTGTTTTGTTTTTATTGTTTTATTATTCATATGTGCATACAAGGCTTGGGTCATTTCTCCCCCCTGCCCCACCCACTCCCTTACCACCCACTCCGCCCCCTCCCTCTTCCCTCCACCACCTCAATACCCAGCATTAGCTATTTTGCCCTTATCTCTAATTTTGTTGTAGAGAGAGTATAGGCAATAATAGGAAGGAACAAGTATTCCTGGTTGAGATAAGGATAGCTATAAAGGGAGTTGACTCACATTAATTTCCTGTGCGTGTGTTACCTTCTAGGTTAATTCTTTTTGATCTAACCTTTTCTCTAGTTCCTGGTCCCCTTTCCTATTGGCCTCAGTTGCTTTTAAGGTATCTGCTTTAGTTTCTCTGCGTTAAAGGCAACAAATGCTAGCTAATTTTTTAGGTGTCTTACCTATCCTCACCCCTCCCTTGTGTGCTCTCGCTTTTATCATGTGCTCAAAGTCCAATCCCATTGTTGTGTTTGCCCTTGATCTAATGTCCACATATGAGGGAGAACATACGATTTTTGGTCTTTTGGGCCAGGCTAACCTCACTCAGAATGATGTTCTCCAATTCCATCCATTTACCAGCGAATGATAACATTTCGTTCTTCTTCATGGCTGCATAAAATTCCATTGTGTATAGATACCACATTTTCTTAATCCATTCGTCAGTGGTGGGCATCTTGGCTGTTTCCATAACTTGGCTATTGTGAATAGTGCCAATAAACATGGGTGTGCAGGTGCCTCTGGAGTAACCTGTGTCACAGTCTTTTGGGTATATCCCCAAGAGTGGTATTGCTGGATCAAATGGTAGATCAATGTCTAGCTTTTTAAGTAGCCTCCAAATTTTTTTCCAGAGTGGTTGTACTAGTTTACATTCCCACCAACAGTGTAAGAGGGTTCCTTTTTCCCCGCATCCTCGCCAACACCTGTTGTTGGTGGTGTTGCTAATGATGGCTATTCTAACAGGGGTGAGGTGGAATCTTAGTGTGGTTTTAATTTGCATTTCCTTTATTGCTAGAGATGGTGAGCATTTTTTCATGTGTTTTTGGCCATTTGAATTTCTTCTTTTGAGAAAGTTCTGTTTAGTTCACTTGCCCATTTCTTTATTGGTTCATTAGTTTTGGGAGAATTTAGTTTTTTAAGTTCCCTATATATTCTGGTTATCAGTCCTT